AAAAAAAGCAAAATTTTGGCTAATATTCTTGCATTAAGCACCCGCATCTAAAGAGGAAAATATATTGAAAAGGGAAAAAGGATGCTTGAAGAGTCACTTAACAGTCAGAGCATGTATTCTGCTTCTGTGATTTTATTTACAGATACTGCATTTTATTTCTCAGTCTATGTGCTAACGCATGGTATTGCTTACTACTGGACACGAGTTAATTATTTTCCTGCCCACATGTCAATTACCATTTAAACAAGAAAACATGCTTTCAATTTTCCACACTGTCACATCATGGTTACTGGAGATAATTCATAAATTGTGAAATCTTCCAACCAGCTGCTCCAATTTCTTGGGATATTTCAGCTGCAAAACACTGATAATGAAAACAATGTGGAGTGCTACCATGGCAGGAGCTTTGGGCAAGGCATGCAGGTTGCTGCATGGGTGCTGCTCTGAGGCTTAGCTAATGGGGCAGACCATACTGGCCACAGCATCAGGCTTTGCTGACCGCACAAAACAGTGAAAATCTGGAAATATTTATACGTAGCACTGCAAGGGATGAGTGGATTTCACACATGATAAAGAGAAAATTATGGGGCCACTTCCCATGAGATGTGAGTACTGGTGACCATTTCAGGACTGAGGTCACAAGGCCAACAGGACCCAGGTAATGTGACTTCCATGAGGACCAGGGGATCTGGGTAATAAAATCAAGTGATATCAAATGGTATTTACACGTGGTAAGGTCCGTGGGCAAAGTGCAGGCACAGATCTTAGATGAAATTATAACCTGTGATAATATATGAGAGGTCTGCCCATGTGGCAAACTTGCAGCCTTGCAACTCCTGTCTACAACAAATACCAGCAACTCCACTTAGAGCACTGCATAAACTGCTAGAAGAGGAGCCATCTGCCCCTTCTGGACACACAGCATTACCCTCTGTAGATGATCTGACTTTGGGAATGCTGGCAGGTGACCTCGGCTAATGAAGAAAAGTCATTAGCAAAGCATTTCTAGGCAGAAGGCTTGCAAGGTGTTGGGAAAAGTGCATTCCCCAGGAGTGTAGCATCCACCTGGATGAATACTCTTGATGTTGAACAGATGAATTGCTATCTTTATGCGTACTTTCATACATAGAGAAATGGGCAATAACACTTCATAAAGGGTGCTCACAAATAGAGCACAGGAGCTCCATGCTTTCAGAATCCCAAACAAACCATCTAAGTTGCCACAGTGTCAAGCCAATGGAGCTTGTTTCCATGGCAGTATGAGCCTACGAGTACTTCTCTGCCCACACAACTGCTCTGAGCAGGCAAAGAATGCATCTCCAATAAAGAAGAGGAGAAAAAAAAAGACTGGAGTATAATCAGATAACCCAGAATGCAGCGATCAGAGGTTGGCTGATATGAAACGTTCGTTCTCTGCATTCTCTCCTCCAGCTTTATTAACTGTGGGATAAGAGAGTTCTCAGAGACATCAGGATAGGTATGCAGTAGGACAGGATGAAATAAAGCGGGGGGAAACAAAAGGAATGGGTTGTCAGCTACCAAGTAAGAGTTGCACAAAGGAAGAACAAAGCCAAGTGTTATTGAATGCTGTATGAATACCCCAAATACACTCCTGCTGTTAACTTGTATTGCTTCCGTATTCCCAACGGGATAATGATGAACACTTCTTCACAATTATTTTCCAAGCATTAAGGTGAGACTGTTGTCTCTGGCACCTTACCACCTTGCATTAGCAAACAGTCCCAGAGACTTTGATTAGTTTTTAACTGTTTAAAATGTAATATTCATAGGAGTATGACAACCTATGATATTAGGGAATTGTCATTGTGAACGTCATGCCCAAAAGATGCCCACGACATTACATGTGTGTGTGGATCGTTAGTAGTGACATATCTTCAAGATATCTCTTCACAGCAGAGCATCCAGCACGTTTCTATATAAAAAACAACTGTATTCAAAATGACACAGCTGCTTACTCTCAAAGAGGAAATTATAAAACTCAGCAGTTGGAGAGAACCCGTGGTTTGCTTCCACTGGTGTTGCATTGGCTTCTAGAAAATGCAATTCTTACCAATGTTTCTTTTCTACAATGCGGAGCTGAGGTTCCCATTAATCCAGCACTCCTTTTTCAGAGGAGCAAGGCAATAGGACAGATTGAAACACTACCTGCATGACTCATGCTTTATGAGTTACAGAGAGGATTACTGTCTGCCATCATCTCTTGGTCCAGAGCTGACCAGACATATTCTGTTTCAGTCAGTGGAATATCAGAAAGCTACCTTGATAAGGAAGTGTTCAGAGGGTGGTAGGACAGCACATTGTTTCTGAAGAGTGCATTCTTCGTGCATCACCATCAGCTCCCCCCTGGCAGCCTGCAGCTCCTCGTTGGCTTCACAGCTCCCCAAAGGGGTCAGAGGGATGACACTGCTGTGTGTTAACAGCTATAGGGCCCAAGGGAATATCAGGGGAGGGTCAGGTGGGGGTGAGGGAAAGGCTCTGCCCCAGAGGGCAGTGGGCATGGCACAGCTGGAGCTCAGGGAGTGGTGGGACATCACTCACAGACACGAGGTTTGGGTTTGGTGGTGCTGTGTGCAGCCAGGATTTGTGTCCCGATGGGTCCCTTTTCAAGTCTGGACACTGTGGATTCTCTGGAGAAGAGGGCTTGGATGTCCTGTCTGTGTGTGCTAACCACTGGGGGGCACTGAGCAGCGCCCAGAGCCAGCACACACAGCAATGGGCACAACTGAAGCCACAGGAACTCCCAGGGAGAGGTCAGGGAGCTCTTTCCCATCTGTGCAGGTGAGCAAGCACTGCACTGACTGCCCATTGAGGATGTCTTCAGCACCCAATGGGACACAGCCCTGGGCAGTGGATGCTGTGGGACTCCAATGGGCATTGATGGAGTGGGCGATCTCCAGAGGTACCCACAGCCCCAAGCATTGAGAAGTTTGGGGTCTAGGGGATTGTGGAACTTTTCTCTCCCACCAGATAAGGAAAACCATGAAGATCACATCAACAGCAAGGAGAATTATAGCACCGTTCTGGAGACCTGTTCTGTAAGACACAGAGCTGAAAACCTCCCTTCTTTCCCTGCCAGCTCTGTACAACCCTGTGTGATCTCCCACACGGGGTTCTGTTAAATGGGGCTCGGGGGGATGGGGTGCATAGGGACTGCATACAGCCGTGGAATATGCAGTTGCTCTGGGGGGATGGCAGGTGTCCAAGGGAAAGCTGCCCTTGGTGCCAGAGCCAATGCTATCTCTCCTCGTCATTATTAGTTTCGCTTTCTACACTTCTTGCAACCAAGTGCATTTACAGGAAAAGCTTGTTTGTGGTACCTTTGGCCTTTACCCGATATTTGCAGTTGGGGCAGGGCACTGCCTGGCTGGGGGCAGGGCTGAGCTGCAGCCCCCAGGCACCGCATAGCCCCCTCCCCCCGTCCACCCCCCTGCAGGCAGCTCAGCACCACCACGCCATTCACCACCTTCATCTGCCAACGTGGGGCAGGGAGAGGGTTGGAGTAGGAACAGGGTGAGAACTCCTGGGTTGAGATAAAGACAGTTTAATGGGTAAAGCAGAAGCCACATGCAAAAACACAGCAAAACAAGGAATACATGGAGTGCTTCCCATCAGCAGGCACTTGTTCAACCAGCCCCAGGAAAGCCAGGCTCATCATGTGTCTCATTTTGTCGTGAAGACAAATGCCATTAGTCTCAATGTCCCCCTTCCTTCTTTGTCCCCCAGTTTTATCACCGAGCACAATACCATAAAGCATAGGACATCCCTTAGGTCTGTCCCCTCAGCTCCCTGCGCACCTCCAGCCCTCACCAGCAGGATGGCAGAGCCCTGAGCTCTGTGTGAGCACCACTTGATGGCGACCAGAACATTGGGCTGCTATCACCACGTGTTCCATCACAAATCCAGAATACAGCAATCCATGAGCCCTCAATGAAGAAAATTAACTCTCCCCCAGGCAGCAACATCTCTTTCCCTGGAGATGTCCAACACACAACGGGACACAGCCATGGGCAGTGGGTGGTGGGGGACCCGAAAGGGCAGGGGTGAAGCTGCTGGCCTGCAGCCCCAAGTGCTCTGTGATTCTGCTGTTTGGGAACTGTGGGATTCATTGCTTCTGTCGGGTAAGGAAAAGTGAGAGAACCACAGTCACGAGAACGGCAGCTCCCCCAGCAAACATGAGACATTTCCAGTATTTCCTCCAGCAGGGCTGCTTTCTGCTTTTCCTAGCGTCTCTGTACTTCTTCACGTGATACTTCACCTTCTCTTCCGTTAATTGGGAATCCAGGTACATCTCATTGCTGTAGAACTTGCCCTCATTCTCCTGCATCATTTCCTGGATCTTCCCCATCAGCTGCTGGGCCTGCTGGTCCCGCTCAGCCCCTCCGGCATGGTTGTTGATGCCGCAGCATCTGTTCTCACAGCTCTGGATCACATCACACAGAGCTTTGTTGCCAGTGTATCTCACGTAGTCATGCAGGGACCCGGCCACCAGCTCTTCTCCACGGGTGAACACGACAATCGTGTATCTGAGCACGTCGGATCCAAAGATGTCCTGCACGCTCTGCACAGCCTCCTGGTCCTCCTGGGTGAAGCGGCCCAGCTGGGTGACCAGCAGCACCGCGTGGGGGCCTGGGGAGGACAGCCTGATGCAGTGCAAGATTTCTTTGTACACCTGAGCATTGTCATCCCACGAATAGAAGATGTTGGCCGTGTCGATCACCGTGATTTCGTGGCCATTCCAGTGCCCGTCTGCCTTCTGGCAGCTCAGGGTCACCGGCTTGGGGGCCAGCTTGGACTCGAAGGCACATCGCCCCAGAAGGGTGTTCCCTGTAGCACTTCGTCCCCCCCCAGTCTTCCCAACCAGGAGCAGCCGCGTGGCTGAGTCCCCGTTGTCCATGGGCAGCATAGGAACACGTCAGGTGGATGTGGTTATGCTGCGGGGACAAAAGCAGAGGCACGGGGCTCCAGTTAGTGCGGAAATGGTGTGGTGACAGGAACCCATATCGGTGATGGGAGTGCGGCTGGGGCTCAGCTTGGGGCTGAATGTGGGACTGGGGGCTGCCCATGACAGCGCCGACAGATGGGGTCTGTGCTGTGCCTGTGTGGGCACGGGGAGTGGGGAGAGGGCATAGGGGAAAACAGAGAGAGGAAAAAGGAGATGGGGAGAAGGGACAGGGGGAAATGGGGAGGGGAGGAATGGGGAAATGAAGGGAAGGGTAATGAGGAAAATGGGAAGAGGGAGAAATAGAAAAGGGGAAAGTGGAAATGGGGAGGGCACAAGAGGAAAAGGGAGAAGGGAAGAGTGATGAATAGGGGCAGGAGAAAAAGGAAAGGGGAGAAGTGGGGTTAAAGTGGAAGAGGGGGAGAGTGGACATTGGGAAAATGGCCAGAGGGGACAAGGGGACAAGGGGCAGAGCCAATTCCCTGCCACGGTCACCAGTTTGCCAGGTACCTGCAGCTCCTTCCCAACTGCAGTTTCTAGCTGCTCTGGAGCAGGGTGTGCAAAGCTGGGGGCCTCCCACCAGAGCTGCACGAGTCGGATCGCACCCCATGGGTGCTGTTCCCCTTTACCTGGATATGCACCGTGTGTGCTTCAGCCACCGGAGAGTCAGCGGAGCACGGCTCGTCAGTCAGCAGCAGGCTGCAGCCCTGCTGGGTGCGTGTCTGCGTCAGCTCCTGCAGCGGTGGGTGTGACTTCAACACCGCCTGCCCCAGGACAGTTTGGTGTCACGCTCCTCCCAGCAAGCACAGCTGCAGCCCTTCCTGCTCTGTACAATGAATGTACACTGTATTCTGTACACAGAATGGGCTGGGTTGGAAAAGGGAGCTCAAAGATCGTCTAGTTCCAACTGCTGCTGTGCACTGGTTGCCACCCACTGGATCAGGTTGAGCAGGGCCTCATCTGTAGCCTTGAACACCTCCAGGGATGGGGTACCCACACTTCTCTGGGCAGCAGAGTCAGGACCTCAGTGCCCTTCGTGTGAAAAATTTCCCCAATGTCTGACCTAAATCTCTCCTCTTTGGGTAGATCACACTCCACCTCCATCCACACCATCCCCACAACCTCCCCACTCCATCCCATTTGCATCCATACCCCACTCCACCTGCAATCCCTTCCCATCCATTCCTGTGCTCCTGCAGCCAGTTTTAGCCTCTGCCTCGGGCTATCACAGACTCCAGCTGTGGGGCAGAGTTCCAGGGTACCCCAACCCCACAGGGGGACCGAAGGGACATGGCCACACTTGGAGAGGCTGCAGGTTGCTGAGTAGGAAGGGGACACAACATGCTGCCAGACACTGCCGCCAGCTCTTTATTCTCAGTGCACACAAAGGTTTCAGCATTACCTTGCAAGGGGGATGGGGGGATGCTGGGATGGGGGTGATGCCAGCCCTGGGGCTGCTGTGGGGCTGCAGTGGATACACCCAGGCAGAGTCCTGGGAAGACCTAGAGGGGCAGGGCATGGGGCAGGGATGCAGGACACAGCTGTCCCCTGTCACCACAGCACTGGTGGCAGCAGTGGGGGACACGATGTCCACCCCCCTCAGCTCCCAGTCCAGTAGAGCACAAAACCATCGCGACTCTTGCGGAAATCAGGAGCAGCCACATCAGGCTGAGTTTCCACAGTCAGCAATCTCTTGCGCCCGCGGAGGCTCAGCTGGATGCGATCGGAGACATGGACCTGCAGCTCCCGCTTGGTCCTGCAAGGACACAGCTTCAGCACAGGGCTGTGGTCACCCTGGGGGGCTGCACTGCCCCCACCGGGTGCCCCTTGGGGTAGGACTCAGCCACACTCACGTTCGGCAGTGCTCCAGCAGGACGCCCACCAGCTCACCCACCCGCTCATCCCCCCGAGGCTGTGTCTTGTGTAGGCAGACAGCCAGGTCATCGTGGTTCTGCGTGTGGAAGACCACCAGCTGCGCCCGGCAGCTCGTCACACTCAGCCCCGTCACCTGCAAGGGTCACCAGGGGGTGTCACAGCGTGGGGACACTGAGACACCTCCGTCCCAGGGAGTTTTGCTGTGCCAATGCAGGCAGCTTTACAGCATGGATATGGGGATGATGGAAGAGTCTTCATGCTGGAGAGGGGCAACTAGGCCTCGTGGCATGGACATTGAGACCACCAAGGGTTCCTCACACTGGACAGGGGCAGCTAGACCCAATTGTATGACCATGGGGAGCACCAAGGGATCTTCATGCTGGACAGGGGCAGCTAGATCTTGTCAGGTGGTGATGGGGAGCATGGAGGGGTCTTCCTGTTGGGTCACCAGCTCCCCAAGGCAGGTCACCCCCTCTGCCACATGGGTGTGGGGCCACTGACCATGCTGAGCGGCAGCTCCCGCATCACTCGGTACTGCTTCCGGGGCTCCAACTTGTAGAGGTGCTGGTCAGTGATCAGGATGGCACGGTCCCGGCTCTTGTTGAAGCGGTTGATCTGTAGGGCAGAGCTGAGTGAAGAGGCAGAGCCAGGGGATGCCAGTGGAGACACACCGGCCATGCCGAGACCCTCACCTTACGGACATGGCTGGAAAAGAGGACAGTGCCAAAGTGCACCTTGTCACGTAGAGCCTGCACGCGGTGGGCGAAGGGCAGCGCCAAGCCTGGGTTCTCGCTGGCCTGTGGGGAGCATGGGGTGAGATGGGGGCACTGAAGGGGGCTTGGGGTCCTGCCATCAGCTCCATGCCCTTACCGAGGACAGGTAGTCGCGCACCCAGCCCCGCTGGCACCCCCAGTCCTTCCGCAGCCCATGCAGAACCCCCATGGCGGCCACCTTGGCCCGGATCTGCGCCATGTCGGAGGGAGGGATGTTCTTAACGATCTGCCGCGCTCGCCACCTGCGGGATGAGGGCATGAGGCATTTGGGAATCACTGCCATGGTGGACCCCCATGGGCTGGTGACCCCCTGGCTGTGCTCACACCTGCGGAAGAGATGCTGGCTGTTCTCCTGGAAGCGGCCCAGCACAGCCGGCGGCTCCGGCCATGCCAGGCTCTTGCCAAAGTCGGGCATGGAGCGCACGCCCTGGAAGCGCCGTATCAGCTCCAGCAGGTATGCCTTCACCTTGTGCCGCTTGTAGTAGCCCATGATGGCGTAGGCGGCACGCAGGTACCGGCACCGTCGCCGGGCCAGGGCTCCACGCCAAGCCTGCAAGACACCAGTAGTCACGTGGCCCCCAAAATGCTGACCCTGCCTCAAAATGTGCTTGTGGGACTGGCTGTGTGTCCCACTCCCTCCATGTCCTCGCTCTGGGCCCATGCCCTGATCTGAAGAAACGTGCCAAGTGGTGCCCTGGGTTCAAACTCTGCACCCATGTTGTCACAGCCATGCCATGCTCCATGTCACCCCCGTGTCACATGCCATACCGTGTTCTGTGTAAGCTCCATGCCACGCCCCATACAAAGCTCCACATCATCCCCATACCATGAATCAAGACACCCCCATGTCACCCCCATACGGTGACCCAAGACACCCCCATGTCACACTCATGCCATGCCCCACCACACCCCCATATAACCCCCATGTCACTCCCACGCCATCCTCATGTCACCCCTATGCCATGTCCCTGGCAGTGCTTTGCCCATGCCCATGCTCTGCACCATGCTATGCCCCATTGTGTTGCCCCCATTCCCAGCCTTATGCCAGTCCCCACAACACGCCCACAGCACCCTGCTGCCCCACTTTCCTCTACTGAGCCCTGTCACAGCCTGGTTGGGGCTGAAACCTACAGCACCCACCTTTTGCAGAAGCAGGACAATAATGGGGATGAGCTGCGCCCGCTCCTGCTCAAGGCAGAAGAGAGTGCGGGGCGTGCGGATGAAGACTTTGGTGTGGCCATAAGCCACATCATCCTGGAAGCCATGCTGCTCCATAAGGGTCTGCGTGGCCTCACGGTCAGTGGCCATCAGGTGGTTGGGCCACGTGTATTCACACGTCATCTTGTACCTGGAGACAACGAGAGTCAACACAATGGGGTGCAAGGGCTGGGGAATCATTGGGGATCCCGGGGCCATACCTCTGCAGGAAGCGGTCGTAGGGCTGGCGGTAGGCGAAGCCGGCACGGCGCACACGCACGTTCTCTAACAGCCCCAGATAGGCGACCTGGTGCCGGCACCGCTCCTCGTCGAACAGCACTGGAGACTTCTGGTCATTAGGCTTGATGCAGCGCACATAGTATGGCTCCTGTGGGCACGCAGTGGGGATGTCAATGTGGGGACACATGGTGGCCCCATCAAGTGGTCCCAAGCCCACAAGTGTCCTGGGCTGAGGACTCCTGGGGCTTGGAGTTCACTGGGCATGGCTGGCACGGGGACGGGGCAATTTGGTGGCTTGGGGATAAAGCCACGTGGCTCATGGACAAACCTGCATGGATTTGGGACATGCTCAACTGGCTTGGGGACCAACAAAACTGGCATGGAGACATGTCTAGCTAGCATAGGAACATCTCTGCTGCATGAGGACATGCCTGACCGGCTTGGGGACATACATGGCCAGTTAAGGAGCATGCCCATTTGGCTTGGGAGCATATCTCGTTAATACTGGGTCACACCAGGATGTTTTGGCGACATGCAGGACTGCCCTAGGGTCAGTACCTTGGAAGCAAGGTTTTCCACCAGGGCCACAATGGAGTTCTTGAAGAGCGTGGCGGCGGTCAGTGGGCGCTTGGTGACCTCAGTGATGCTCTGCTCACCATCGGGCCACATGGCATGCAGCACAGGGTCCATGCTGGGGACAGAGCTGGTGTGGGGCTGGCAGTGCTGGGCACTGCCCCACTTCCCCACTGCCCCAAGTTTTGCCACCCCACACCCCATAGCAGTGTCTCCCTGGCCATACCCTCAGGCCCCCCCGCTATGTTCCCTGTCCCTGGATGTTCCCAACCTGTTGTAGAGGAGCCGTTTGAAGTCCTGGAATAGTGTGTCCTTGTTCTTGTCCAGGAAACCTTCCACGGAGTACCTGAGGTGGGGGAACACCTTGCTGGGGGCTCCTCCTGCTACCATTTGGTGCTGGGGGACAGGTTTTGGCACGGAGGCTGATGGAGGCATCAGTGCCATGCCCCTGGCTGTCTCCGCAGAGGTGATTTGTCCCATTGACCCCATGACCCCATATGGATATCCATAGCTCCTGATGGGCGCTCATATCCCCATGGCCCCAAATGATCCCCCCCATAGACTCTCATGGTCCCCAAAGGTCTGTGTTCCACTACAACCCCAAACAGTCTCCTCCGGTTCTTCATGAACCCCCACAGCCCAATGGCTTCCCCATGCTCCCATAATGCTCCCCAAGGACCTGTCCAAGGTCCAGTGGTCAATCATACACAAGCTAAGACCCTTCACAGTTCTCCAAGGCCTCATAGTTGACCACAGACTCCTATAGACTTCCAAGAAACACTATTACCCCTGGTCATCCCAGATGGTCCTCCATGCTTGCCTAAAGTTCTCCATGGTCCCAAGGCCGCCCATGGATGCTCATAGTCCCTACTCACACTCCTAACGGTCTAAATGACACCACCACTCCTGAGTACACCCCCCCCAGTTTCCAATGGTTCTCCATGGACCCATGATCAACCATAAACCCCTAAGAGCCACTAATAGCCCCGTAGTCAACCATAAATCCCAAAAAGACCCCCTACAGCATCATGTCCTCCATGATCCCAAATGGTCCCTCATGTCCTTCCTAAGTCCTCCACGGCCATAAGACCCCCTGTGTTCTTCCCTGGCTCCCCACGGCTCCTCACGTGACATCTCCAGCGTAGTGCTTGATGCGGAAGTCACGGTCAAACTCCATGGTCTTGTCGGTGGGGCAGAGCTGGGGAGCAGAGGGTGTCAGGCCCAGCTCCTGGCATCGCCCCCACCTCAATCCCCATCGTTGTCCCAGAAATCACCTTGCGGCTGCTGTAGTGTGGGTGATGGCCCAGGCGGGCATCCATGTTGGCCAGGAAGAGGGCATCAGTGACGGTCCCCACAGCCAAGCAGGCCTCATCCAGCAGCGCCAGGATGCCACGGTGTGGCTGCTCCACCAGCTCCACGATAGGCTCGTTGCTGAAGTACTCAATCTAGGAGGGCAGGGGGCACCCCAGGTTGCCCCCCATGCACCCTCATTTGCCCCCTGGCACCTCAAATCTCACCCTGCCAAAAGGTTCCCCATGTCCCCTCGTGTTGCTATGTGCCCCTCACGCTGTGTCAGGTGATGACACCTGTATCCCCCCCAGGTCCCTCCCATGTCTTTGCCGTATCCCCATTTCCCCCTCACGTTCTGCCAGGTGATGCCCTCGCGCTGGTACTCCGCCTGCTCCTGCCTCAGGATGAGCTCGATGAAAAGCTGCTGCAGCTTCTCGTTGCAGTAGTTGATGCAGAACTGTTCGAAGCTGGGGCCAGGGGTCAGGTTGGCCACTGTCACCTGGCCCCACACCATGCCCCCTGGCCACCGTGCCATTCTGGTCCCATCTTTCCATATGCCCTTCTCAAATCATCCCATCCAGTTGTGCCTCCCAAGACTTGTGCCCTCCATGTGTCTCTCCTGGGTCCCATCCCCTCTATATTTCCTTCCCAAGCCATCTCTTTGTGTCACTCCTAGGTGTCCCTCTCCCTTCCCCACGTCCTTCCCATCCCCAATCCTTTCCACATGTCCCTTCCAAGCTCTGTCCCATCCATGAGTCCATCCCAAGTGTCCCCATCCCTTTCACATGTCCTTTCCATCCCCAACATCTTCCATATGTTCCTCCCAAACTCTGTTCCTTCCATACATCCCTCCCAGGCGTCCCCCTGTCCTCTCTACTTGTTCCTCTTGGATCCCTTCCCCTCTGTGTGTCCTTCCCAAGCCATCTCCTCCACGTGTCACTCCCAAGCCCCGTCCCCTCCACGTGCCCCTCCCTGGTGTCCCCTCATCTCAACCGCATCCAACTCATCCCCAGTCCTCTCATGTCCCCTCCAAGTGTCGTCTCCTCCATGTGCCTTTCCCATCCCACAGCTTCTTTACATATACATTCCACCCTATCCACCTGTACCTCCATTCCCATCACATGTCCCATTCCCCGTCCCCTTCCAGCCCGTGTCACCTGTTGGTATCAAAGATCTCGAAGCCATAGATGTCCAGGACTCCGATGACGGTGCTCTTGCCATGCTGCCGGACATCGTAGCCACGTGCGGTGATGCTGGCATTGATGCGCCCTACGATCCATCCAAAGAGCCGTTCATAGATGGCCTGGGGACAGGGGAACCACGGTCACCTCGGGGGCACGGTGTGGGATGGTGGGACCCTGTTGCCCTCTCCTCACCTTGGCACAGGCATCCCTGCCATAGGCGGCCTCGGTGGGGCTGTGACCCTTCGTGATGAGCTCCCCACCTCCCGTGGCCACAGTGCGGGCCAGCAGTGCCTGGCGGAGCTGCTCCGGTGTTGTTCCTGTCAGCTGGGCCAGCACAGCCAGCTGCTCCACTGCCTCCAGCACCGCCACCTCATCGTCTGCCACGAACCTCACGTTGCCCTGGGGACATCGTAGTGATTGCAGGGGATGGGGATGGCACCGTGCCTGCCGACAGGGCATGGATCGGCAGCCCTGCTATGGGTTGGGGTCCCAAATCACACTTGAGGTGTCCTGGCATCATTGCTTTGGCTGGGCTCAGGCATATGGGGTCATACTGGTTTGCTTTGAGCTGTACTAGTTTGCATTGGGCTGTGCTGGGCCATGATGAATTGAGTTGTGCTGCTTCACACACCAGGTTATATTGGATTTAATGGGCTGTACTGGTTTGCCTTGGGCTGTGCTGCAGTGCACGGGGCTATACTGGTTTCTGTGGGGCTTACTAGTGCTGGGATGCATGGAACCATACTGGTGCCCAGAGCTACACTGGTCTGCCTGTGGTAATACTGGTGGGCCCACACTGGCCTGCGTGGAGCCATACTGGTCTATCCGGGGTCATACTGGTGGGACCAGACTGGTCTGCATGGGAACATACTGGTGGAGCCATGTTGGTGAGGCTGGGGCTGTTCAGGTCTGCCTATGGCCATACTGGTGGGGTCATACTGGTGTGGTGATACTGGTGCCCACGAGGCTTCCCTGGAACTCTCACCAGGTGCAGGATGGCTGCTAGGATGCGTCGCACAGCGCCCACCTCCTCTGGGGTGAAGCCAATGACTGCCATCGCCTCCTCCACCGCCCGGTAGCCACGCGCATCATCACTGTCAGCCTGGAGGAGGCAGGTGAGGGACGGGACCCCCGAGACCCCCACCCCCCCAGCCATCCCTGCCCCACTCACGCTGCCCTGGGTGCCCTGCTGGGTGTAGCAGTATGCAGTGGGATCCCGCTGGAGGTGCAGTGAGGCCAGCAGTGCCTCAGGGGCTCCCAGCAGCAGCTATGGAACAGGGGGACGTCAGCACCCTGCCCTGGGCACCAGGACTCCATGTTCCATCTCAGCTGGCCCTGGCACATCCCAACCTACCCCATTTGGTTGCCATTCTGTACTTACTCTGTCCCACCCCATCCCATTCACTCTCATCCCATCCATCATGTTCCATCCCATAGATTCCACACATCCCATTCCCATCCCATCCATCCCCTCCTCTCCTACCTGTCTCATCCCATCACACCCTATCCCATCCCATTGCAACTTATCCCATCCCATCACAACACATCCCATCTCCATCCCATCCCAACATAACACACCCCAACCCATCTCATCTCATCTCATCTCATCTCATCTCATCTCATCTCATCTCATCTCATCTCATCTCATCTCATCTCATCTCATC